TATCCGTCTACATTCCGCTCGGCGCTTTTTAAATTCTATTATGTCACTCCGATTCCACGTTCTTTTCACTTTTAAATATGATGCTCTTTTTAATCTAACAGCTTTATCACATTCCGATGACCACCAAGGAACTGGCGATTTGTTTTTGATATTTTTGGTATAAGGGATGGATTGTTGAGCCGCTTCAGTCAAGCGATGTGATATGTTATTACTAAAAACTTCTACGTCGTCTGATATCAGTAAATCATTGATTGTGTCTATGCATTTTAATTGAAATTTATTCCAATCAGCTTTCTTCAGCGACCAGGATGAAAATTGTATTTTATGAGAGAACTTTACTCAAAGATAGGTTAAAATTATGCAGTGGTCGCTCCCGATGAACTGGTCAGTGACAACCGCGCGACATTTCGAAGCAATATCAAGCGTAGCAATCGATAGGTCCAATAGAGACCACCTATTTATAGCTCTCATGGATATATTCATTCTTGTTGGTTGGGAAGTGTTAAGTATTACTAAATTATTTTCTTCAACGGCATCCATGAGCATATTACCCCGTGAATTTGTCATGGAGCTCATCCACATCCGATGATGTGCATTAAAATCTCCAAAGAACATTGATCTACATGGAAAGTCTCGGATGAATTTGAAATGGCTTTGATTCAAAATATTTCCCGGAGGTATATATACATTGACAAATTTATGTTCATGTATTTCTATGCATTGTACTTCAACAGGCGATGGTGCTTTCAAAGAGATCTCTCTGTAAGACAACGAGTTTCTAACTATAATAGCCAGGCCACCTCCTGCTATTGATCTATCTTTTCTTATTATTGAATATCCTTTTAAAGAAGGTGAGTACTTCGATATTAAATGAGTTTCTTGTAGTAAGATTATATCTGGTTTCTTTTCTAAATTATATATATACTTCTTAAATTCGTATAATTTTCTGTATATGCTCCTACAGTTCCACTGTAGTACGCAAAAAGAAATTTCCCCAAGTTCCGCCATTAAATTTCGTCAGAAGCCATGTACTGAGGCGTTACACTGTTTAAATCAAATCCAAATTGTTTTCCGGCTGACATGGATATTATGGAAGATATGTCAACACTTTCTAGCGAACGAACTAGCAACTATAGTGTTTTGTATAACCTCAGTTAAAAATGCAAAAAATTGAATGGGATCTACAGTGATTTGTGGTCTTTGTTTTGGCACATTTTCGTTTATATCAAGACGCTCTGCCTGTGATTGGTCAGATTTAGATAAAGAATGGGTGATATCTCCTTGTCGTTGTCGATCGGATGTCCTGGAATGTTGGGCACTGCTATCTAGAGAAATGTCAGTACTACCAGTTTCTAGCGTTCTGGTATGGCATGGTGTTTTCTCTGCCAGACTGATGAATGGTGTGGAGACCCGACCGTCTTGTTTTTAAAGACGGGAAGTTATCCTAGGACAGAAAAAGATTTTTATTTACTTGGCCAGATGCTTTCTTTTTTGAAAGATATATAGATTCGCGAGCGTCGGAGTAGTTTAAATTTTTGTTTTTACGAATAATCTGAATTTGATCTTCTTCTTTATATCTCTTACATCCTGCATATGCAGCACTATGAGAAAGACCGCAATTTGTACAATGTGGTGTAGCATTGCATGATGCTTGTTCGTGTTCTCCGCCGCAGCGGGTGCAGCGCTTCTTACCGCGACAATGTTTACCAATATGCCCATATCTGTTACAATTGAAACACCGTATCGGAGGTGGGTTATATTCATGGGTCTTGAACCTCAGGTATCCAATCTCAACCGTAGAAGGCACAATATTTGTGCTGAAATTCAATAAGACCGTAGAGCAAAGTTCAAAGCCCGAGCTTGTTTTACGTTTTAGTCGCTTTGCTTGTACAACGCGGAATTTAGCAAGGAAGCAAGCTATCTCATTGTCTGTCAAATCTTCTGGAACGTGTTTGATAACGCACTGTCAAGAAAAATCTCGACTCAGGTTTTTTTCCGTTTTGACGAGGATCGACGTTGAAGCGTTTCCTAGATTATTACATGCAACCATGGCGCTAAATTGCTTCGTTGTGACGCATTTTACGAGCAAGTCGCCAGAAGGTAATGGACGGGTGCTTTCGCATTCACCTATTAATTTCTTTAGAGAATCCGATACAACGAGCGGATTATATGATCGCAATTGACGGCCTGCCTTAGTAGCTTTAATTAGCACACATAGATTTGTGAAATCCACCTGTTGTTGAGAGTTCGTTTGTTCAATAGCAGGTTCTCGGTGGTTTTGTTTGATGGTATCACATTGCACATTGATCTTAACTTTGCTTACATTGCTCTTATCATCAGCCAATCTTCGCTAGTATGTTGTTGACTGGCATTCCATGTCGACATTAGCAGATGACATGGTGAGCCAGTCTCAACGCCTTTACAACCAAGTACTTATTTTTGATATTACTATAGGAAATGTTAAATTTGATAACGGATGTCTGATCCAATAATAAATTATAAGTCACGAATACACCAGTTTTCCCAACGTGTTCCACGAATGTCCGAGGTCCTTGGCCTGAACAGAATGGGCGTTGCGTGCGTTCCATTACTGTTAAAAATGGAAAAAATTAGCTCGAGTACTCGATCGAGGTGTTTGAAGCATAGTTTTCGGTAACGCTAGCAACCGCATCTGAAGCTATCGATTTTTTTCGAAAGTTATGTATTTAAAGCGTCGTGGTGTTAATGCAGCTTAAGTAATGGCATAAGTGCATTTTCTGAAATGCAGGAAACTTCTTGTTTGTGAGTTCGATACAAACGAGAGCCCGTTCTAAAAATTTTGAATCTTATCACTGACTAGACCAGGGGTGAGCAACCTTTTTCGGCTCGCGTGCCATAATCGACTAAATTTAACGACAAAATTCTTCCGCGTGCCGACCAAAATTAAAAACAATGCTTTGCTACTACCAAAGAAAAAATACATAATAATAAACCTTTGAAACATGTACAGACAGGTTCACTATTCAGGTAAATATGTGTCTGATTAACAGATTTGATTACTTTTATATCATTTTCTATCAGTGAGACTTCTGCTGCTGCATTACCGCTGATAGAGATTTCACGCTGGGTTTATATTTTGTATCTTTCAAAGAAATACGCGAACTACTGGTTTCATCTTTCGGCTACTCCTGTTACGAGACTCAATAAATTGCATAACTGAGAACAGAGCTTCACAAATATATGTATATGAAAACGTGGAGCGTAATGCCATTGCAAAGTTTTTTAAACACGAAAAATTTTCGGGAATTGCATCCTCACGCAATAGTTAGTTTTCTGCACTTGTATTCCCTTCCCTAATCGCTTGTATTTCTTCCGAAATCAATTTATAACAGTAAGTTAGCAAGCATTTCTAACCAACATGATGCACAACCTCATAAATCAAGCAAAGACGAATAAAAAGGTTGGCACAGACGAACTATACGTAAGAATATAGCCAAATGAATGCTGCGCACTTCTCGGCGCACCACTCAGTTGTTACGTCATAATATATTTCTTTGTAGCCATATGTCATGAAAGGACAAAACGTTTAAATAAATAACGGATTGTTAATTAACAAACGATATTGAATAAACGATTGAAACGAACACCTAGTTTCATCAGATAATTCAGTCTTGAAACTTTTTATCTGTAGAAGAATGATATCGTTTCCGAGGCCTCTCTCGCATGCCAAATAAATGTTGCCCACCCCTGGACTAGACTATAATTGTTCAAAGTTTCGCTTCTGAGAGAGAGAGGAAGTGAGTGAGTTTAATTTTCTTCTATTGAAAAACTGACTATGGTCTTGATATAGTCGAAAACGAGTCATTAAACACCCAATTTGCGAATATGAAAAAGCCTATGTTGCAACTATACTTTCTTTTAATAAGGCCAAAGGCATTGTATTTCATTAAGCTTAGCGTCGTTTCATAATATAATGCCAGATGTACAGCCGTACTTTAGTCTCGCCCCAAAATCGTGTTTTATTTTGCAAACGCTTCATTTTTCTTAGAAATGAATAAAAACCTGTTCTATCACTATTTTATCTTAACTATTTTTCGCAAACGAAGCATTTTTTAAATATTTTGTAACTCTATCTGATCGCCCCTAGGCGCGTAAAATTACGGAACCTGGGGCCCCATTCACAAAGCTTCGTTACCGTCTAACGTGTTAGTTAAGCGCCGACTCTCTCGTAAAAAGCAAAAATGGTATTCACAGAGCTTCGTAAATATTCGAGAGAAGTTATTCGAGAGAATTTTTTTGGCGCCAAATGAGACGTCTCGTAAAGTGCCTTCTTCTCTCATTTTACCGAGAAATGGTATTCAGCAAACTTCTTTAACGCGCTGAAGAGCTCGCTAGCAAACGAGAACAATCTTCGCCTCGTTAACAGTTCGTATTGCTCTCGGCAGTGATTCAAGTTAAAATAGTGTCGTTTAGACGTTAGCATACTTTGTAAAAATTGGCATAGTATCAAAAGGCCTTACTCGGGTAATCGTGTATGTAGTCTAGTGTCGGTAACTTAGCTGTGGGATATCTGCCGCATTTACAGAGTAAACTAGGGTTGAGATTTAGAGATTGTTAAGTTCATTGTTTTTTTTTTTTGTTCATTCTAGCGTTATTATAAACACAGATTCAAAAATGGCTGCTTATATTGAAGCTTGCAGAAGAAAAGCCCCAACAATCTCTCCATATCGTATAAGAAAGAAAAATCCGCTAGATGCAGGTGAAAGGACCTTAATAGAGGACTATAGACTCAATAAAAAATTAATAACAGAGTTGTGCCAACTATTACATCCAAAACTGGCACCCTTTACGAGGCGTTCACGTGCACTGTCGGTGGAGGAGCAGGTCCTAATAAGCCTGAAGTTACTAGGCTCCGGAAGCTTCCAGTCTAGTGCAAAGGATATTATTAACGTCTCCCAGCCAACTGCTAGTAGAGTTTTTTCTAGATTTCTAATGCCCTAGGTGAGCTTGCAAATGATTTGATACATATTCCAGAGGATCCATTTGAAACCAAAATGAACTTCTATAATATAAGCAAGTTTCCAAATGTTATTGGTGCTATCGACGGGACCCATGTGCCCATTATTGCTCCTGCTGCCAACGAACATCTTTACATTTGTCGAAAGAATTTTCATTCCTTGAATGTACAGGTGATCATGCTTATATTTCAATAATGTTTCATTGTTTTCTGTGGGCGAGATCTTTAGAATCACTAATGTTATTCAACTCTTCCTTTATAAAACTGCTTTTACATTTTATTTATTTCATCTTGTCTCAATTGCAGGCAATCTGCGATGAAAATATGATCTTCACAGACATTGTGGTCAAATGGCCTGGCTCGAGTCATGATTCGTTCATATTACAACAATCCAACATATATGACAAATTCGAAAGTGGCCAATTTGGTAACAGCTTGCTGCTTGGGGACAGTGGATACCCATTAAAAAAATGGTTGATGACACCAATATCAAATCCCAATGGGACAGCCGCTGAAAGATATAATATTGCACACAAAAAGACAAGAGTGATTATCGAAAAGTAAGTTTATTCATAAATTAATATTATGCCTTTTATAGCAGATAGCAAATAAACAAATCTTAATGACCATACTTACTCCCAAGTATTTCCAACCAAACAGCTAGACAGAAAATTTACACAATGTACACAATAAAATATTATGTTGCATTTCAAAATTGTATGTTAAATGCCGCATCAGAGATAAATAACTGCATTTTGTTTCAGAGCATTTGGAGTGTTGAAGCAAAGGTGGCGTATTCTTGATCATACCGGGGGCAAATTGTGCTATACACCATTGAAAGTTGCGAAAATTATAGTATGCTGTGTTATTCTACACAATATGTGCAGGAGAAATAATGTTCCTCTGCCTTCCAATGGGAGAATTTACCCTGTACCAGACACAGATGACACTGCAGCACAAGATGATTTCGAACCCACTGCAGAGTCCGTGCGTTCGGCCATAGTTTCAAGTTTTAGTTAGTGTATCGTCAAAATTTTTGTGTGCTTGCAGTAAGGGTGTTGTCAAAAACTTAATACACATGAAATTGGTGACAAGCGTGACGTCACCACAGATTACCTCATACCCTTGCGACATGTGTCATGTACATTTCAGATCGAGTCGATTTGAATATGGCCACTCTCAGCTTGGTTGGGGCTGTTTGTGTCACAATATCAAATTTGAATATTCGGAACACTTCGTCATTCAATGATTGTGACATAAGCAGCCCCAACCAAGCCCTTAACTGAGCTGGGAGTGACCATATTAATATTGACACATCTTTCTGAAATGTTTGATAGACTTGTCGCAAGGGGATGGCGGAATCAGTGATGACGTCACGCTATTCGCCAATTTCCAGGTTGTATCAAGTTTTTGACAACTCCCTGGCAGCGAGTCATAATCCCCCTATACATGTTGAAAAAGTAACGTGAAATTAAGTCTTCAAATTTCTTTAAGAAAATAAATGAGTCTCAATTTTGCGTTCCTTTTTCAATTTTTAAGTACCGGTATTAAATTTTGCGTTGGAGAGTATACAAAATATGAAAACTCAAAATCGTTTACTTATAAATAACACACTTTAATTTTAAAAGCTGCTGAACATAAATTTTTTAAAAAGTAACACTTGGGCTTGACCATGTCATTCATCATCTTCCGGAATTTCTTGCAAGTCACTAGATTCAGATATTTCAATGGAGTTTTTTATTCAACTTAATTTTTACACCCACAGTTTGATGTTGAGAAATAAAGATCTTTGGCCTGTCCTGTTTCATGGGAAGGGCTCATTTTAAAATTCCGGCTAGGTCTTATTTTTGGGAAAACACATAAATAAGAAACCCAAAAATAAGACCTAGCCGGAATTTTAAAATAAGCCTTTCCCATGAAACAGGACAGGCCAAAGATCTTTATTTCTCAACATCAAACTGTGGGTGTAAAAATTAAGTTGAATAAAAAACTCCATTGAAATATCTGAATCTAGTGACTTGCAAGAAGCAAGAAATTCCGGAAGATGATGACATGGTCAAGCCCTAGTGTTACTTTTTGAAAAATTTATGTTCAGCAGCTTTCAAAATTAATTATGTCAACATCTACGCCAGAGCTGTATTTTATCATTTTGTTGCTATGTTTTATTGCAATAAAGAAACCACTTTGAATAATAGTCTAGTCTCACATATCTCGAAAGTGATACTGTCAGTTTCGTATTGCTTGCTATAGGAGGGTCTCTCCCACTGTTGTGCTCCATCAAAATATTCGAATGCGATTTAATGTTTGGCAGACTGACTGATGCACGATTATGGTAGGATCAATAAGCCAGCACATTTCTTATCGCCTACTCATTTCGTGGGAATTTCCAATTAACAATATGTATTTAATTCAACAGAGAGAACCAAATGTAGTTTGACAGTATTAATCAAGTTTTTTGGCAGCCTGCCCCCTTATGGATCACCCCATATACAAGGTACAGGTACTACAATTTTGAGTCACTATATTTTTGAGTCACAATATTTTTCAGCAATTTTTGCCAGACTTTTTTCCATTTTCTTGTGAGAGTCTACCAAACTATGCAGTAGTTCTTTTATTTCTCTTTGGATTGTGACAATGTCACTCGCCTCGTCATCGCAGCGTCTTCTTTTTCTTTTGCTGCTGACTGTAGACGATGCAGAATGGTCATGACAGGAAGTTTCACTTTCAATATATGAAGTGTATGGAAGCGCACCCCCTAGGAACAAATATTGGTTTTTTGCTATTATCAGAGAAAAAAAAAAGGCAGGTTAAATTTCATTGTGTAATTAGGGCACAATATAAAATTATACATACCAGTGCCTTGGTCTTCATGTTCTGCAAACGCAAATGGTTGCGAAGATGCAATTATTGGACCTGTAAAATCAAAATAGGTATTGATAAGGGTTATATGTCGTTAGCAGCAATAGTGATTAACTGATTAAAGGTACATGACTTACTTGATGATCCTTCGTACGTGTCACCTGAATTGACTTGAGAAATTTGCATCGAAAGTGAGGATGTTTCAGCATGACCTAAGAAAATAAATCATATGCTCAATAATCATTGATATGCTACAATATTTTTTGTATAACGTATTTTTGAAATTTCAACATACAAAGCCAGTTTTCGATTGCTGCAGCACCTGGTATGCCCTCAACTGACTCATTTCCCATAAGGGCTATTATCCTGTAGTCCATCTCTGTAGGTGGTTTTGCAGTAATTGTACCTCCTCCAGTTTTTTTTAAATCTTTCTGTACAAAGAGACCCTCTTTTTGGCATTCGACTTCATGTCGTACCACTTGTGTTCTATCTGGCTATCGGTTCTAATACTCCCTGTAATATTGACTGAATTCACCTATGAAGAAAATAGTAAATATATGATAAATGATAATAAATTTGATTAAAAGCTCTGCTATCCTGCAATTGCACTTTCAACGTATCAATAACTGTGATCTACATTAGCAACTTTTGGCATTTGTACACACCTTGTTCGAAATATCTCTCCATGCTGCTCTTTTGGTTTGTGTAGTAACACTCTGAGAGTAAGCCCCAAAAACTTGTTCACGGTGTTGTGAAACCCCAGAAACTAGTGCCTCAATCTCATCAGGTGAAAAGCACTTTGCCCTTTTCGTTTTCACTGACATAGTAATTACGGTATGGTACCTTATATACCGTACTAGTTACACTCGATAATCTGCAAGATGAAAATAACATTAAAGTTGAAGCGACCGCTCTTGCTGCAATATATACCTACTCTGATGGAATCATATACTGTTTCACTGCAATACTTGAATACAGCTACACGGACTAACTCAAAGCTGCAATTAGGTATGGTACGGTACTAACATCAAAACGGTACTTTGGAAACTCACTCATTTTATTGTATTCATTCCATGTATCCGTCAGTCTAGATTACGGCGCTGCTATATGAACAAAACGCAGGCTGCAAAAAAGAAAGTAGCGATACACGCTCGACCCGATGGCGGCGATAACTGATACGGCTGAGTGACCAGTCAGTGAATTTTGTTCAACTGCGAACGAGCGTAAGATTTCGAGAGAATACATTAACCGTGCGTCAAGTGCTAACAAGGTCTTTGGTGAATCGCATTTAACGAGATTTCGCTATCACGATTCTGAGAGACACAGTTACGAGATCGTAAACCCGACTTTTTACGAAGTTTAGTGAATGGCGCCCCTGATATGTCTTCGGATCCCGAACTTTATCGCTGAGTTCAAATGACTGACACTGTAATAAAAACACGTTGAAGTTAAATAAATTTGGGAGTGATTTGGAGCATAAAAATACAATATTTTATACTGTATGAGGAAAACTTCTTGGGTATCCTTACAATTTTTTTAACTGTCGTGGGAAATGGATTGTTTTATGTTTTATTCACATTTTTTGGACACGTTTAGTGGCCATAACGATCGTTTCAAAATTTTGTTGGTATTGTTTACTTCTTTCGTCAGTATCATTAAAAATCGCTTTTCTCTTCGAATACTGGACCAATTGCTTTGAAATTTTCAGTGGTTAAAGATAAAATTTTTCTCCAGAGGGCTTTTTTTCGCTATGACGTCATCAAAATTATTGCCATTGGGTGGCGCTACGTGTCCATATATTTGAGCATAGCTCTCTTGTTTAATTAAATTATCTTAAAATATCCGCTTCATTCTTTTTATTATATTCAGTCAATTTGTGGGTGAAATATTTTTCGGAAAGTTTGCGAGTTATGGCTTTTATTTTAGTTCGATTAGCTATGTAGATGCTACTTATATTAAATATTTTATTGACAAACAATATTTGACGCAAAACATTTGAGTCAATGCCAGCGTTTCCCGCCGGGCAGAAATCCCTTATCAGGGAAGAATTTCGTTTATAATGAAATATATATGGAAATATTATTTTGTATTTGGTGAAATTTTACTAATATTGTTTAGTTATTTAGTATTGTTGTAATACAGGTTCATGGACACATAACAGACTATTTAAATCACATGCCATAGTTCGAGTTTGAGTCAATAGGTGTGTTTCCATGTGCAATATTACTAGGACGCAGTAGGACTCGCATTTCTTATATGGTCAACAGAGTGACGTCACAGCGCGTCCTACTGCGTCCTAGTCCTCCATCGGTTCTTCGTCCTACTGAGTCCTAGTATTCAAGGCACCTACGCGTCATTTTTCGTTATAGCGACTTGCGATGCTATTCGCAGATGACATTTTTTCACAATTTTTCTTGGGGGATGCACCTGTGTTACATCTGTTGGTTATTTATATGGCGGTATGGCCTGGCGTTGCAAGGTTTGATATTTTCGGTTAGTGGTACGGTAGGCTATATTACTGTACCGTATTACCTACGAAATGATACATATATGTAAAATATATCTGGGTGTCTTGTACCGATGCTGCACGGACTCACAAAAAACATATACAAATACGGCAAACGGTTTCAATTACGATAAAGTAAACAACTTTTAATGTACGCACCGGTACCGTATCAGTGTATCACTTTGTACAAGAAATCAAATCATTACCGGTACTCAAGCTATGTATTCTTGTTTTTGTATTACATGTCTGTACTGTATGGACAACTAATAACTGAATAATATAAATCCTATCCTAATATAATTTTTGTAAATGGTGAATGTTGGGATTGCTTCAACAAATGACATCTCTGCATCTGTTGGATTATTAGCATATCCTTGATCTGATATACCAGGTACTGCTGTACTGTACAAAACGAGGTTTCACCCAAATATTGGATAACAAGCAAATACCCTGAAAGTAAGTAAACAAAAATTCTACATTAACTTTTTTAGTCAACCCAGACAGCTGGACAGCCAGACGCCGATGAATAACTGAATAAAGTAATATTTTGCAGAATTTTTCGGTAACCTATCATAAAAATGGTCATTTTTTCCAGAGTCATTGGACTTGCCATAGCAACCTGCTTTGATTCAACTTTCAATTTTATGCATGAATTTTGTTTTTTTATGTGTCTGTACATAGTACATATATTCATGAACTATTTTATGTGTCTTTCATTACGAAATGTGTCCATTATAATGTTGTGCGTATTTATATATATATGTTTTTGTTACTTGGCACTGTTGTGAAGTTGTGTGCGTTCAGTTTATCTCCATGTTTGTTTTATTTACTTGTTTATGTTTTTTTGTTGTTGTGTGTTTTCAAGCATGTTTTTGTTTTATTGTATGTATGTTTTTATTGTATGTATGTTTCTCCATGTTTGTTTAATTCGTTTTTTCAATGTTTTGTGTGTGAAATATATAATATTGCTATTAATAGCAATTGCTTTCTCGGTGGACCAGTGTGCTACAGATAGGCAGGGCAAATATGTTGAGGTGAGGTTATTGATTTTTGTTTAGAATGTTCAATTGGTCACCTGAAGCAACATTCGAACTTATTGATGCCGCTAAGCAGGTGAAGTTAGTAGAGAAAAGCGATAGTACGTCAGTAAGAAATGTGGTAGTTATGAAGGAGGTGGCAGGAATGTTAGTGGAGAAGGGATATCGTGATATAGAAGTGTAAGTTTTGCATTTAAATAGAAAAATAGATAACAAAATAGATGTTAGCCTGGTTTATAATCGAAGTAAATTTTCTACACTCGCTACAAAAGTAAGATCTTTTAATGTTGCTTGAATAGTGTTACTGTGAAGAACAAGTGGAAGCGGTTGAAGGCGAAATATAATCATATTAGAACAAAAACCTCACAATCCGGAGAAAGTTCCAAATCTGCATTAAATTGGCCATATTTTAGGGCCATGCATGAGCTTCTTGGCTGCAGACCAAGAGTGCAGGTGAGTGGTTAAACGATTTTGAAGCTAGTAAGTTTTGTAATTTTATTATTTTCATGTTTATTATTATCTTCTACTCAATTTTTTTTATCGCCGTGATTGATATTTGAATAATCATTTATGTTTTCAGGCCTTGGCCTCCATGATTGGTGTTGATACCAGCGAGCCGTCAATCATGCAAGACCATAGTTTCGACGAAACCATCGCTCAGTTTGTGGCTGAAATAGAGGGTCAGTACAGGATCTTATGCAATGAAATTGGTGGAAGGGTTGGTGGCATCATCAAACACTTTTTTAACTTAATACATTATTTTTAGTTGACAATCCAGATAGCAGTCTCCTGCAAGAAGAGTCGGAGGGCGAGTTGCAACAGGACCTGCCGCAATGTTTGTCGAAGAGTCATTTATAATTTTTTATGTTTATGATTAGCGTATCCAAACCAAATTATGGTTTGTTGCAATGTATTTATAAATTGTTTTAATATGCTTCATCTTCAGTTTTTTTATGTATTTATTATTATTAAAAATCACTTTTTATACACAGTTAACCTTTTTTAGTTGCAATAATTTAAAATACTTTTTATCATATATAAAAATTGATCAAATTGAGGCCTTCCATTCCGAAGTTTACATTTATAGATATGTATCTTGCACTTAGTAAAGCACAGTTTATACCTTGGTTTTTACATGATAAAATTTTTAAATACGATTGCATGTCATTATAAAGATCAGAAAAGCTATAATAATGAAAAAAAATTGGAAACATTACAATTTGCTGTTTAGAATCACAGATGTCTTCAATAAAATGGAATTTTTTCTAATCCAATGCTTTATCTTCAGTTGATGAAAGTGTCAGCCATGCTCCACCAACTTCAAGCCAGCGAGGCAGGAGGAGACAGAGTAGTAGAGAAAATTATGGTTAGTGCAACCTAGATATTAAGAATTACTAGCTGATGGCTCATCATTGCTGTTAATGATGTTCTATTTTATAACTTCCAGATTCCAGAACTGAAGCTCTCTTGAGAGTATTTAGGGAAGGATAGGCTTGCCTTTGCATCAGCTTTGGAGAATTTGACAAATAAAATATTGGAGAAACTGTAATAATTATGAATTATTTATTCAACTATAACAAGGAAAAATTGAACAGAAATTAACAAATGAACAAAATTTAAAAAAAATAACAAATTAGTCACACACGTCCATAGAGTTCAAAAAAGTAGTCGGCAATGACCCCTTGGGCGTTATTATTAGCCCCTTCATTTCGGATGCCAATAGTTGGAGGTTGTGGCTCTTCATTTAAGGGCTTCCTTGGCACTGGGGCTTGCTCTGTTTCGCAGATATTGTGCATTATGCAACACGCTGCAATGATCTTTGGTGCCTCAGCGACTCTAACATCCAGCCGACGAAGGATTCGCCACCTGGCTTTCAGCCGGCCAAAACAGTTTTCGACTGTTACGCGCAACTGCAGAAATAGCTCATGCTTAGTTTGTTATAACGAGTGTGTTTGAACACATAAAAGTGCCTGTTTACCTTGCTATGGTGCTCATTATATCTCTCTTGCCTGGGCGTGAGAGAAGACCCAGTGTATGGGCGTAACAGCCATGGTAAAGAGGGATACGCCCTATCACCCACGATGCATAAGGGCACTGGATATCCATTAATGGTGATCTCACCCTGCGCCAGAATACAATATTTAGTAGTAATCAACATAATTTTAGAGTCTGGAATGCTCAAGCTTTCTTACCGAAGGGAGCATTTCAGCATTCTTATATAGTCCAGAAGCCCTCAAGACTGTGGCATCATGAACACTGCCCGGCATCTTTATACTGATGTCTCTGAATCTGAGATTTAACACTAACAAATAACACTACAGAATGATATCAAAATTTTATCACAGACATGAACAAAAAACAACACAACAAATATGACATTGATTGCACATACAAAAGAAGACAGTAAATGGACATAAGACATAAAATGTGATTGACTTGAACAAACAAAAGTCTTAGTGCCAACACAAAAACTGTGGTGTAGTCGCACTTTATAATTTGCACATTCAACACATAACAGAAAAACCCGAAAAGTAATAGAAAAACCAAAATGTAATGAAATAAGTCAATTGTACACTAGCAAAAACCTAAAAAATGGACTAACCTGTAGTGATTGTCAGCTACAGCCTGTAGGACTATAGATGGGTACATCTTTCGATTCACATAATCTCTAAACCCAGATCTTGGTGGTTTTACATGAATGTGGCTCCCATCTATAGCCCCGAAACATTGTGGAAACCCAGTTAGTTGCTGATTGGCTGCTGCGATTGTTTTTGCTTCAGCAGCGGTTGGCAGAAAAATGAATTTCTTTTGGTGCTTGATCAGACATTCACAAAATCTACTCAGATATGGATAAATGAGAATACAAGCAATCATGAAAGTGAAACTTCAACTATTGGTGAAATATACATACCTGTGCAAATACCTGTGAACAGATGTTCGATGTGCCCCAAACATGTTACCTGTGGTTCTGAATTCTGCGGTTGATGCCAATTGGTATATTGCAATTGCTATTCGTTTGTCTAGTGAGAGTGGCGTACGAACACACCTTTCGTCTACATAAAAAGAATGCACAAAATTAGTAAACATATTGAAGGAGCCTGAAACTTTATGCAACTGTAATTTATGTCTTCAACGTTATGTAGTTTGCATTGCTAAACATAAGATAATATCATTAAATAAATCATTTACCCGGCTCTAAATCGTCACGCAATAACGTTGTTAACTTGGAAAATGTTTCTCTTCTGATTCTAAAATTCGACAACCATTCTTGTTCACCGAAATTTTTTAATGCATTTAGCCACCAATCATCTGGCCTGAAAAGCATATTGTCAAAATTTTAGCTCATATGTTACTGCTGTTATTGTACAAATAAGTATAATAAATAAGTGTGAGTTTATTTCGACTCCATAATCAGCATAACAATAAATTGATTGGTAAAAGAATAAATAAAAACTATTTATGAAATCAGGAGAGCAAACAAAACCTTAGAAAAGGTTTGAAACGTACAGAATGTATACAAGATGGAAGGTTTTGCCAAGACGAAGTGGTACGTGTTCACTCACCTAAAATAATGGAAATATTTCACACACGCTCACAACCAAACAGAGGTTATAAATTACATATGGGTAGTTAAAAAAATAAATGAAAATTACTTGCCACACCATATTAATAAATTTACAACTTTTGCCACTGCCGAATTGATCGATTTTGTAAATGGGAGTGAACAATAGAGATAAACTTTTATTAAAAATATATTGCCAAGCTGATTACAGTTAGAGTCAATTGTCAAAAATGCCCAACCAAAGTTGTCAGAATTGGGTGCATGAAAAGGTGGGCCAGACCACTTCATTCCCCAAACTAGAGGCTATTACTGCAAAATTATAGTCCAGATTGTAATAAGTATTTAAAGGTACAAGTAACAGTATAACTAATTAAGGTAGGATGACGGGAAATAGGAATATGTTGGTTACCAAGGTTATAAGTAAGGTTGTTTTTTCAATCTTAGATATTGACTTCTGCAAGGACAAAGGAATTAGGATTGTTATTATTTCACAGGATCATTCCTTCATTTGCTTAATGTAACGCAATTGATATCAATTCAAATTTATCATAGATGAGAAATCAGGCTGCCAATTTTGATGACGTAGATCTGATATTGATTGAAAGAGTCATGAAATCACTTAGTTTAAGACTATCATTGAATTTGAGGTCACTGACATCACTAGAGCAAATATATACTGCAGTACTGATACGAGTTGTTGTACGTACACACTAAATTTATGCTCCATATAGGCTAATATATACCGTAACCCACGGTGCCATTATAATTTAAAAACTTACTGTAGTTTGTTTTGTACATGCCTATATATAGAATAAAAGAATTACCGGTACTCCATCCATATTTTTCTCGGAATTCTTTCAGCTCCCCACTGAGTTAACGCCAGCAACGTCCTAGACCGCCTTATTCTTCTGGTGTGCAACCATAAGACCAGCGCCTGCACCGCGAAAAAAAACGCTAATAAAGTCTTCGCCCTGTCCATATTCAAATTAATACTATGATAATGATACCGAAGAGAGAAACCTAAAGACAAACTCGGGTAACAGTAACAGCTTTATACGAATTGGGGAAATCCCAACAACAAAATATTTACAGCGGAGATCACTCAGGCTGAAAGAAGATGACACAAATCAACCCATCCAAACGTGTAGTTTTACCCACAATGCAACTCATTTCCGAGATCACGATAACATGGAAACAGGTCGCGATTTCGTGTCCTAGTCCGCCCTAGTAATCCCGCCCGACTGCGTCCTAGTCCGTCCTAGTAAACTTGCCCATGGAAATACACTTAATGGTCCCCAAACTAGGGTCCGCGGCCCTTTTGGGTTTCGTGAAGCACTTTTGGAGGGTCCGCGAAACAAATCTGTAATATGGCTAATAGCTTGATGATACAAAAATTAAGTGCTTAAATTTGCAAATACACATTTGTCGCCTTTTGCTGCTTTGCAATCACTGCTGGAGACACTGATTCTTCGCTTTCTGTTTCGATCACGCTGCCCCATTGTGATGTCATAGAGCTCTGGGCCTGTGATATCACAGAGAGAGTTTAATTCATGCTACGAACTGCGGAGTTGTCCTTTTGTATGTTTACCAAATATCGAAAAAGGACTGGATGTCACACTTGTCAATAGAGTTGCGCTTTATATTCTTTTGTTCGTTTCACTATACGGCTGATTGATTTTTTATTTTGATCTTTTAATGTTTTGTTTTATTGCACAAGGTCAGTAATCATTAAAAAAAATGCAAGGGGTCCGTCACGGAATTTTTTCCAAAAAGTTTGGGAACCACTGTAACTAGCCGAAGATTCTTTTAAAATTGAACAAATAACAAAAATATGAAGATATGAAAGGGAAGTATACTCACTCTCCTTGAGAATGTCACTGGGTTAGACATAATCAAGGTGACTGCCTAATTATACGATACGCTCGTATACCGAAAAAGGTCGGGAACCGCAGGGTTATAAATAGACTCGATAAAATACTATTTTACGATTTTTAAATATTACAAGTCAAGTTTATTTTTTCCAACAAGTGAAAAATATCACTCGAGCACAAATTATGAGAAAATTCTAATTACACTGGGAAAGGGAAGTCTCGAGGAACCAGAGCTGGTTACTAACACGCGTCCGTAGTCGTGAAAATTTTTTTCCCGATGACGTTATGATTATAGGGTTAGTTCGGATACCTATAATTTTCACTATCCGGATAACGGATATATCCGGGTAGTCCGTATTTTAAATATACGGTTAACCGGATAGTTACTGCTGATTTTAGAGAACCGATTTCGCAGGATTTTCGCGGTGAATTGAACGAATACCACCACACAGTTCTGTTGTAAATACTCACATATGTATTATTTTTCTTGAATATGAATTATTGTGCATTTTAATATTGCATGTGTCAATAAATAATAATTTAAGCTCAGTAGTCGTACCGATGTACAGCGGAATAATAAAATGAAACATTTTTTGAAAATATTGTGTCCTAATTTTTTTTCCCCCAACTGCTAAGTTATTTTTCCTATTCAAATAATATGTAAAGATTTATATTATTTCTACTTTATTGTAAAGTTTTTTAAAAGTTTCTCTTTGTGTCTAGAGCCTCTTTTCTTTAAATTTTGACTCGTACTAAATTTTAGTGTCGCAGACTCACAATGATCATTTATGATCATCCGCACCTTCCTATCAATTGCAATGAAATTTAATATTGTCATGTATAGTATTTTGTTTTCTATAATACTTGGTGATTTTTTGCAAGACGAAATAAACTTTGTTAATATATACCACAAGAGCATACATATAAATGAAATCATGAACACAAAAAATCGTGCATTTCGAACATTTTATTTCGGTGAGAGAAGTATCCAAAAAATAGAATATAGGGGGAACAAATTCCGTGAAGTGTATAGGAAAATATAAGTCATTTGAACAAAAATTTTAATAACAAAGCAAATTGATGATTATGAAAAAACCGAAGTGGTCAGAAATTTCTTCTAATTTGAAATATTCTCACGTTTGTACTAATTAGGCCACAACTTTAAATCTATTTCCATTCGAATACCTTTTAAACTAAATTAACAGAGCCAAAACAATGCTGCGCCAGTTTTTGAACAACTTTACTTACCACCCTAAATGAGTAAACGAAAAACATGACACGATACAGAGTCTGTCACATTAAACTTTTCTGAAATATTATAGACCATTTTGCAAACAAATTTGTTTGTGAAAGTTCCATGAAAACCATAAATGTACTAACAGCCTTTCCTCCTCATTTTGAAATTTTCGAAAACGTCACTAATAAAAGCGATCGAATTTTACAGGCTAATTGTGTTATCATCGCCGATCGTTTTCTTCCGCATCGCGTTATTATTTGGGGAATTAACATCGGCATTATGCCAGTTTTAATTTGAAAAGAAGTTACATCCCGTGAAAAGTTACCCTTGTTGTAAATTCAGTAAATACGATTATTACGAAATTTTGGCGATTCAACAGCGCCTAAAATAGAGTCTTGTTTTATCTATCACTGGCTCATAAATCAAGAGTCGTGGTATTTTTGTTAGCATTCAATTCCTTATTGTCAGTCAAAAATGTGTGTTTCAGATCTACTCTCTTAACGATAGATAGATACGACGATAGATAACATACTGCGGCCATTTCAGTTCCGGGCGAAATAGAACAATTATCGGCGTTATATACCGACGAAACTGAACCCGACTTTTGTCCCGAAAATGTTGATATATAACTATAAGCTAATTAATATCTGCATTTATTGTACTAAATAAATTATACTCATTGGAATTGCAATAATAGCTCAAATTTGATGAATTTTCAAGATAGCAAAAATAGGAAATTGGATTTGTTCGTGCAGCTTACCATTTATTTTCATATCTAGAGTAGAAATGCTTTTATTTTAAGGTAAGTCGGGCTCTTCTATACCGCAAATACGCAATAATCACATTTTTCTGCGTGTTTTGTGATGTAAGACTATAGTCAAGTTCACTCCAGCATTACACGGATGACTAAAATATGCAGAGTGGTGTGGATATAAGTGAATATTATATGCTCTGAGAGATGTCATTGGCCACTCAACAAAAAATATAAAAATCACTAATGCGCATATGCATTATTTATACTGCTCTATTATCCGGTTAACCGTTACAATAATATCCGGTTGTCAGATAGCAAAATACCTCTTGGTTAATCGGTTATCCGGTTAACCGCTATCCGGATAATCCAACCCTAGTTATGAACAATGAAGAAAAACATAAAACAACTTGTATCATTTTAGACATAACATGATGCAAAGGGTTAAATTTCGGATGGAAAATAATATTATGACATCATAGCATGGCGTCGCGAATTCCCAAAATGTTTCCCCGAGCATAGATTTTCTTGTTTTTTTTCAGTAATAATTACAAATCCCGGTGTTTTTCCTCTCGTATCTTCAGATCTTTGTATGTTGTTGAGCGAGAGATTTTTCGCGGACTAAAAAACTTCTTTGTGGATTTTGCTCGACGTCCAGAATTCCACATTTCAAATTTGCGAGTAGTCTAAAATATGATCGTTGGGCCTTAAGATTGAATAGCGGCGCTAGCGCTCGAATTGTCATGTGCAGTGCTCTTCAACCGGGTATACTGTATACCTAATTGTGTACCAGACCATTCGTAGGATATACGACTGATAAAAGGTATACGAAGGGTATACAACTGATAAAGGGTATACAAAGGGTGTATAGCCTAGATATGGAATTGTAAGCTCTAATATAACAAGAGCGCTACGCACAAATATATGGACACGTTAGACCAGAGCGAATCAGTCTTTACCGGTACCTTTGACGCTACCGGTACCCTCAAAAAAGTTCTGAATTTCCAGTAGCAAGAATTTTGCAGAATCAAAACGTACAGCCAGTCATGACACTGACTAAAATCCGTGTTCCCATGGATAAAAAATAATACAGCAAAATTTTAGACGAAATATCAAATTTCATAGAATTCACGCAAAATTTTGAAATAAATAAAAGTAATAGCCTTCTAGCGAAGAAATTAGTCTTTAACCACTGAAAATTTCAAAGCAATTGGTCCAGTATTCGAAGAGAAAAGCGATTTTTTAAAAACGTGTCAAAGAACAAGAACTACAACAACATAATATTGAAACGATCGTTATGGCCACTAAACGTGTCCAATAACTTTTAAAATATTCAATTAGAGACAACAATGCAAACGCGACGCATATGAAGTATAAAATGTCATTCACGCAATGAACCGACTTGAGCACATTGTTACATCACAAATTATGTAGATAATTCAGGCACGTGTCTGGGTTTTGATGATTTCGGCTGCCGTGCACGTCGCTTGATCTGCTGGAAAAAAAAATGAATTACACTATGTTTTACGGGAAGTCGTGTATTTTGTGAATACGATTAAGAATAGTTCAAAACAAACGAGACTTTTCTCGAAACAGACGCCACTTTCAAAGAACTTCTTCTACATTCAGAAGTACGGTGGCTGTCCCGAGGAAAAGTTCTTTTCCGTGTGTTTGAACTTCGCGAGCAATTAGGCGTATTACACTAATAGAGGAGACCAAAAAAACACCAAGTTTCGCAATATATATTGGGTTGCAAAATTAGCGTACATGGCGTCGATTTTTGATCGTTTTAATCAAGTGAACGTCAGTCTTCAAGGAGATGATATATTTCGATCAGCGATATCAATGTTCTGAAGAAGAAAATTCAACTCTGGAAAAGCAATGCTTCTTCAGGAAATTTCATTGACTTTCCTCTTTTAAATCAATATTTGAAAGAGTCCGGGTGGGAGTTTGAGGTCGTTTCAACGATAAATACCATGTCTACCCTAATTGTTGGTCATTTGAACTTATGGGGTAATAAATAATGCTTTGTACTTTCCTGAAGATAAAAACACCTGGATAGACGTCTGGAAGAAAACTCGTGGATAATGCAGCCATTTACTAGTGAACCAACAGAAGACGAAGAATTGTTGGAACTCCGGGAGTATTTAAATCAAAGTATTATATTCCGCAAATTGGATTACTCGGGAGTTTTGGGTTTCTCTTTTTGAATTTCCCCGAGTACAAAAATCTGGCAGAAAAGGCCGTTGCTCTTCTGGTACAGATGCCTACGACTTATTTGTGTGAAGAAGGGGTTTTCAGTCTTGTTGAAATCAAGTCGGAAAAGCAATACTTGATATTGATTCACTAATGCGGGGAGCAATTGAAAAGGAACCAAAACCCCGTTATGGACGAATTGCCAAAACTATACAAGAACAAAGAAGCCACTGAAACTAAATTAACATTGTCTTTACATTTTTCACACATTTGGGTGTCAAATTTATTGCATCTGTGAGTAAAAACTAAAAGAAGCATTTCTAATTACTCGCCCCGCCACCTAGATTTTAGTTCTTTTCAATATGTGCCTAACATTTAATGTTCATTTTAGCTTGAAATAAAAATTGGTGATATTGTCATAGTCGTTGACGAAAATACACCAAGAAATCAGTGGAAGATGGCAAGAATTGTTGATGTCTATCCCGATGCAGATGGTCATGTTCGAAGAGTTCGAGTTCACATAGGAGATTCAACACTCGATGAGAGAGGAAAGCGTATAAAGGATGTTCTCTTTCTTGATCGTCCAATCCAAAAGTTGATTCTTTTCTTGGAGAGTGGAGATACGGGAGAAGATTCTCGACGAGGGAGCCAGAAATAGACATTGTGAAATTGTAATTTTATTTTAGTATAGAAATAGCATTTCTGGGGGAGCCATGTAAATGATGGCTCAGCCGTCATTTTATTTATTGCCCTTTGTCGCCTCATTGTGGTACTTTAGATTGTTGCGCAAGTTTGTCTCGTGGTTGCGCCATTTTCAGGATTTTGTTGAACAGGCTGACAGGGTTTGTGCTTCTCTGATTTGGTCTAATATATTATTCTTTTTCCATACAGTTAAGATTGTTTAAATGTTAAATATTGAAGTACCTGCTTGTTTGTGATATTATTAGCCGAAAAAATCGGTAAGTCATATTTTATGTGAAGATATTTCTGTATTTAGAAATTCATTTGCTGAGTGTTCCTACTTGCTTAATATATGATTTTCATTCCAAATTCATATTAGTATAGAATAAGTAAAACACTGTGTGGACAAGTTATTGTCTGCTCTTTATTCATAAGTTATTCATGCCTTCTTTATCGTGTGATCAAGTACCGGTAGCCTATACTGTATTTTGCCAATGTCTCTGGTATTTTTAGATCATCACTGTTGTGTTTTGCTTATAAGTTTTACTCTTATTTTAATTGCAGTTTACACACTTCTTCAATTCATTGAGACTTTATATTGGAACATTTCATCAGTCCACTGAGACACTATTTTGGAACGCTTCATAACATCTAAGTTATTTCATTTGGTCATTTTTGAACACGATTTGGAAGTAACATCAAAACATTGTGTTGGACAGTTTCTTGGGGTTTCCAGGTTTCAGTGAGTGCAGCAGTGAGTTAAACGACGGTTATACCTACACGGCGGAACATACGACTGCGAGTCTGCGACAAAAGGGTTAAATAGACTGTTAGATTCGTAGCATCGTGAACAGCGGCCGTAATAGTATACGAAGTTCTCGAAAAATTGTAAAAGGCATACCACGGTAGAAAAGGTTGAAGAACACTGGTCATGTGATTTAGGGACAGAGCTACTGTGTCTACTTCCGCTCTAAGGCCATAGTTTCCGCCCTTTTTGATATACTACAATACAGTATATAAAAAATACAGTATGATAACAGAAGTGAAGTGCTCTAATTTTTTATATAGGCCTATACTGTCCCAAATGTGAATAATGTTATAATCTAAATTAGAAACTTTCTTTTAGCAAGGAGATACATAGAAAAATTCAAAAAACAATCTCGTTAAACAAAAGTTTGTGTTCTGCTGGCAAGGTATTCTTGTTGTCTGTTTGAAAAATCAAGCTCAAATCTTTCATTTTTCAATTTTATTGGTGACAGCTGTACAGAATAACAGTTTGTAGAGTTTAAACTAGTTTTTTGTGGTTTTGGTAAATGAAAAATGGATCTACAATCAAAAAAGCTTGTCCGAGCGACTCAGTCAGATTGCCTTATGTCATAATTTGATAGGTTCAAACAAAATGGGTTTTTTGTGATTTTGAGGTTGGTGGAAAATCTTTTCGAGTGCATCGTACTGTCTTGGCAGCCTCTTCAGAATACTTTGAAGCCATGTTTTCAAGCAACATGAACGAAGTTCATTATTACCACGGTAATATGAAGGATGTCGATTAGGATCAGACAATCGTCTCGATATAAAACAAGAAACCGAACAGTTCGTGATAACTAATTTCAAATCTGTTATTTCTTCCGAGATGTTTCCATTCGTCACCAAATCAGATCTCTTGCGTTACATGAGAAACGAGACTTACCAAACATCATCTGAACCTGTTGTAACATGGGCAAGAATTAAAGACAACGTAGATGTTTTCGAGCTTGTCCATGCTGACAAATTTCCATTTAAATTTCTTCTGCAAACTGTCCTTGAAGAACCCATTGTAAAAAAGAATAAAACGACTAAAAATTCAGTGATTACCGCCTTATTCTCTGAGGTAAAAAAGATGGAGACAGGTCTCAAAATTGACAACTGCTTTACTTTGAAGAACCTGGCTGAAACACATCAAGTTAATGATCCGAGTGCAGTACAAAATGTGATAACTCAATTTTGGGGGCAAATTTCGAACGGGTTATAAAGAAAAAAGAATTTCTTGACATAAGCAAAAATGACATAATGGCACTTTTCAAATCTTCAAGCACAAAATATTCTTCCGATGCTGTCAAATGGGAGGCGATGCTAAAATGGGTGAAACACGGTGTCGGAAGTAGAAGAAAAATATTCCCAGACTTGTTTAGTTTTCTCAAACTTGAAGATTTATCTCTTGAGTTTCTAAAGGAGACAGTCCGAGTTGAACCCTTGGTTAAGAAAGCAGAGAAATGCACCGACATGCTCATGGAAGAAATTTTCTCTCGCGCTTCTGCAAAAGTTATTCAACAAAATAAAACAAACAAAGATATTTATGTATAAAAAATATTTGCCCTGGCCATACGAGTGCATCTTGAACCAGTGGTTCCCAACCTTCCCACCCCAGCTGACTGATAACGTCAAATAAAATGACATCACAAAACAAAATAGGCAGAGGTCAATTTGCTTTGCAGAAAAAAGGAAGGCAAAAAAGGGCATTCCCAGGACCAGTGGTTCCCAACGTCGATCGATGGGACCAGCGGTTGGGAACCGCTGTTTAAAACAGTGGTCATCAAGCACTTTTGCTTTTGTTAATTCATATCTATGCTGGAGTGTTTAAAATAAACTCTGAATGGGAGCTAAGAATTTTTTGTTTGAGAATTGAGATTGCTATAAGTACTCTTATCCGGTCCGCGACACTTCACTGTATTATAGTAACAAAACAGCTGTTTTGAAGAATATATATTCCTTATCACATTAACCGCTATGCAATCACACCATCCCTTCCTCAGTAAAACTGTAAATTATCATTTTCTCGTAGTTTGTGCCTGCGATATATTTTTTACTGGTTGAAAAAAATAAACTTGACTTGACTTCCCAGTTGCTATTTCAAGTACATTTGAATTGTGCGAATATTTGCCAACATATAGACTTATTCAATGTTTCAGTATGAATACTTAATACCCTATTTTTCGTTTTGCTAAGATTAATAAACATATCCTTTTGGTTTACAGTACAGGTGATCCAACTCCTATGCTCCCTGGCCCCAATATTCAACAACCGGTTCCCCTACACTTCAATTTTGGTGGGTTTTTCATTCTCATTTACTATTTGAATATGATTTAAGATTTGATGTGTTATACTAATATTGCTCTTCAACCAATCTCAGCATTCATTAGAATGAGTGCTAAGTATCAACTTATAATCATTATGTGCCAAAATTAGTAAGTAATGTTCTTTCCGTCTGATAAGTTAAAATTGAAAAGTTTCTCTCCTTGTCAGTTAGGCACCAATGCTCGCTTATAATTTTATTTGGTTAGAACCAGGTCATGTTTGTTTCGGTAGAATCATACTCACAAAATTACCGGTTCCTCCTACAAGGCCGTAATATAGTAATACAGAACTTGTAGTTTCTTTCATTTTGCTGAGATAAATAAATATGTTACTCTTGGTAACAGGAAATTCAAGTTCTATGTTCGGTTCCTTGGATAATCAACAGAGTCCTCAGAGTCCCCCTCCAGAAGGATTGGAATGTTTTGGTAAGTTTATTGCTCACCCACCAGTTATTTTATACAAAAAAATTGTGTTTGTACCAATAAGGAGGTAACTAATTTTGTTCGCCTATTTTACATAGAGTTGTGTAAAGGGACTGAAACCTATGGGCAGGGGGACTATTCACTTGGCTTACACAGACAGTCCTCGAACTCGTAAAAGAACTAAAATAAGGAGAATTGGGATAATATTATGGCTTAACCCTAACCTGGTACATAGGGTATGAGAATACCAAAAGTTTAGGGATGAAGAAATACGCTTTCTTATCATGGAAATTATGTTGTAAATTTTGTACATGTTGGTGTTTGTTGTTTTAATTAGCAGAGCTTGATTTAGTTTTTCTTATACTCAATATATTGAACTAGATGTTTCTTTGTTTTCTTGAATTTATTCAAGGTGAGAGACAACAATGGGGAGGAGGGGGAATTCCACTACGATCTCTATTATCAACATGGGTGAATGTGCCGCCATCTAGTGGTACAATGACAAAAAAAACACGAAGGAGATGAAATTGCTATCACCCACACATTTCCTACTAGTGTTCTTAATATGAGTTTCTTAACTTCATAATGAGCATTAAGTCAATGCGCCACTTTCAAAATTTACAAGGGTGATGACTAGGTTTAGTACATGTCTGGGTTTAGCTTGGACAGTCCGCCCTGTAAACCTAACTGTACCGGCCATGCAGTGTTGCAGTCAAAAATATTTATTATTTAATATTCATACAAAATTGTTTTTTTTCAACGGATACAGCTCATTTATCAATGATTTGTGACTGACTTCACTAGTTCAGTGAGAGAGAGAGAGAGGATTACCTGTAAGTTATATTGTTTTGTCATGATTATTATGTGAATAATCTATACATCTAACAGTAACTTTACTGCCGTTAAAATAATTAAAATGCTGAAAAGAAATTGCACTTTTTCCAATGATTTTGATAGTACTAATTAGAATGGAATATTGGATTTGTTCGTGTCATGTGTTGTGATTTTATAACGTGTCAAGTAGACAATGCTCTGATTGGCTGCTTTGTAAGTCCACGTGTGTGTGACGTATTTATGTTTAGGCCAATCACACACTACAAGTCGATAGACATATAAAAGCTTTAGTTCTTGATTCTTGTCGGTCGCTTAGCTGTCATTGTCTGTCACTAACTTAGTCAATGTGCTTCTATGTTGAACTGTTATCGTTTGATTGTGTAAAACTGATGTATCTTAATTTGAATAAATAAAATAATACAAACGTATTATTACATGGTGTCAGAAGTAAAAGATTGATCATCATGAGTAAATTCAACTCTCCGAGAAACCTTAGCCTCGAAGGAAATCTAAGCGAAAACTGGAGGAAATTCAAGCAACAGTTCGAAATATATTTAGAAGCATCAGGTGACAATATAAAATCGGATAACACAAAAGTAGCAATATTACTCAATTTTGCCGGAGAAGATGCGGTAGAAATATATAATAATTTTGATTTTGCGGAAGCCGACGACAGAAAGAAACTTGATAAAGTCATCGAGAAGTTTGAAAATTATTGCAATCCAAGAAAAAATGTTGTTTTTGAGCGACATCAATTTTGGCAATCGTCTTAAGATGTTACCGAGACTATAGATCAATTTGTAACTAGATTAAGAAGTAAAGTCAAATCTTGCGCATTCAAAGAAGAGCCAGAAGATATGATGAGGGATTGTTTCATTTTCAATATGCGTGACCATGGAGTAAAAGAAAGACTGCTAAGAGAAGACGAACTAACGCTTGTTCAAGCTATAAACATGGCCAGAGCTGCAGAGACGTCAAAACAACAAATACATAAAATGGATAATTACTCATTTGGATCGTCTGTTGACAACATTAGGCAATCAAAACACAAGAACTCGTTCGACAAGACTGGAACGAGACAGCAATGGAAGAACATAAGACATTGTAAATACTGTGGTGGTAGTCACGTACCTAGAGCATGTCCAGCTTTTGGAAAGAAGTGTCGATTTTGCAAGAAAATTGGACATTTTGAGAAAGTATGCAGGACGAAGCGAGAAGATTATAAATCAAGCAAAGAAAGAGTAATGAGCTTGATCTCTGAAGACAAAGATGTCTTGATGTTTTCGGTCGATAGCGAGACTGAAAAGAAATGGTTCGTTGACTTTAATATAAACAAACAGTTAGTTAAATTTAAACTAGATTCCGGTGCGGACTGTAACGTAATGTCAAAAAAGACTTTTGATGGGTTGCGTTTGAGAAGATTAAAGATTAACCCCACAAGAACAAACCTGCGGATGTATGATGGACGTAAGGTCAAAGCCTACGGTAAGGTCTCTATACCTTGTTCTTATAAAGGGCTTACGAAAAATATTGACATTTTGCATGTTAATTACCATGTCCAACCTGTTCTTGGTTTACCTTCATGTATGGAATGGGAACTCATAAAACGTGTAAACACTTTGACCAGTGGTACAATAGAAAATCAATACGATGATGTTTTTACCGGGTTAGGCTTGATTAAGGGATCCGAATACAAAATTACGATAGATCCCAATGTAACGCTTGTTGTTCATGCACCACGCAGAGTTCCGATAGCTATAAGAGATTCTTTAAAATCTGAACTTGATCGAATGGAAAAACTTAATGTGATTAAGAAAGTAAATATTCCTACTGACTGGGTTAATAGCATGGTTATGGTACGAAAGAAAAATAACAAGCTTAGAATTTGCATCGACCCAACCGATTTGAATAAAGCAATAAAAAGATCTCATTTTCCCATGCAGTCCATTGAAGATGTTGTAAGTCGCATGCCAAATGCTAAAGTATTCAGTGTTTTAGATGCAAATCATGGTTTTTGGCAAGTCAAATTGAGCAAAGAAAGCTGTAAACTCTGTACTTTCAATACGCCTTTTGGAAGATATTGCTTTCAACGTTTGCCATTTGGTATTAAGTCTGCCCCAGAGGTTTTCCAACAAATTATGTCTCATCTTTTTGAAAATCTAGAAGGTGTAGAAGTAATCATCGACGATTTGCTAATTTGGGGCGAAAACATAAAACAGCATGATGAACGTCTTGTCAAAGTTCTGGAGATTGCCAGAAAAAGTAATTTGAAACTAAACAGAAGTAAGTGTCGATTCAGACTCAACGAGGTGAGTTATATTGGACATTTACTAACTGATAAAGGATTGAAACCCGATCCAAACAAAGTCAAAGCAGTTCAAGATATGCCAGTTCCAGAAAATGTTAAAGATCTTCAAAGATTTTTGGGAGTAATAACTTATTTGGCAAAATTCATTCAAAATTTATCTCAAATAGCCGCTCCTTTGCGTAATCTTTTGGAAAAAGATGTTTGTTGGCATTGGGAGCATGAGCATAATAAATCATATAATGACTTGAAATCTGCTATAACAGCTGCTCCAGTGCTGGGATATTTTGATGTAACAAAGCCAGTAACACTCTCGGTAGATTCCAGCTCCAAAGGTATGGGTGCAGTTTTAATCCAAGATGAAAAGCCTGTTGCATATGCGTCAAAGTCGTTGACAAAATGTCAGCAACGGTATGCACAAATTGAGAAAGAGATGTTAGCGATCACTTTTGGCTGTGAGCGTTTCCACGATTATTTGTATGGTCAAAAGATCGTGAATGTAGAATCCGATCATAAGCCACTAGAGTCCATATTAAAAAAAACAATATATTGTGCACCAGCTCGTTTGCAGAAAATGATTTTACGAATTCAACCCTATTCTCTCAATGTACGTTATAAACCTGGTAATCAATTGCAGATCGCAGACGCCTTGTCAAGATCTACCCAGGAATTGAACGAGAATGAGAAAGAAGAATTTGACGAATACGAAGTACACGTGCTCAGTAATGGTGGAATTTTAGAAAACATTTATCACAAACTTGTGAAAGAAACCAGCAAAGATTCCGAAATGCAAGATCTATACAAAGCTGTAATGGAAGGTTGGTCCCAAAGATGGAAGGTACGAAATCCCACTTCTAAATTTTGGAATTTTCGCGATGAAATATCGTATGCTGATGGTATTTTGTTCAAAGGCGAAAGCATAATCATTCCTCAATCAATGAGAAAAATAATAATGAATAGAATTCATTATGCACATCTCGGAATAGAGAAATGTAAAGCAAGAGCACGTGGTTGTGTATTTTGGCCTGGTATAAATTCTGATATCGAGAAAACTGTATCCAACTGTAATACATGTTTGAGATACCAGAGAAATAATCGCAAACAACCATTAATTCCACACAAAGTCCCTAGCAGGCCATGGGCTGTTGTTGGAGCAGACATTTTTTACTTTGACGGCAAAGACTATTTGCTTGTCGTTGATTATTATTCGAAATATCCTGAAGTAGACAAACTTGTCGACAAAACTAGTTCATCCGTAATAAGAAGTATGAAGAATATTTTTGCAAGACATGGTATTCCAGAAAAACTTGTTGCAGACAATATGCCTTTCAATAGCAAGAATTTTCATCAATTTTGTCGAAATTGGGAAATTAATTTGGTCACATCTAGTCCAAGATATCCTCGTTCTAATGGTTTAGCAGAGCGAAATGTTCAAACAATGAAAAATTTATTAAAAAAGGCCAAATTTTCTAATCAAGATTTTTTTCTTGCCGTTTTAGAGTTTCGAAATACTCCTATCACTGGAATGAATGAGTCTCCAGCAGAGCTTCTAATGAGCAGAAAACTTAGAAGCAGAATTCCAACAGGAAACAATTCTCTGCAACCAAGAATCTCCGCTGATATCAAGAAGTCTTTATATAGAAGACAACAAGACCAGAAGAGATTCTACGATCGAGCAACATTACCAAGAAAAGCAATAAAGCTCAATTCGATTTCGAGAGGGAAAAGAGTGGCATCCAGCTGTAGTCGTTTCCAAGCATGATGCACCGCGATCATTCAATATTCTAACTCCAGATGGCAGAACGCTCAGGCGAAATCAGCATCATTTGGTTACAACAAAAGAACAATATCCACCATATGTTGGTACTGATATATGTCCTGAAGTCCATAAACCTCCTAGCGATTCAAAGACTGCAGAAGTATCTCCAAGCCAGTTGCATACTTCTCATGATGAAGCTATAAAAATTGAACAACCGTAAATACGAAGATCTACAAGAATTCGACGTCCACCTGAAAGATACTGTGATCAATATTAGTAGACTGTTTCATTTTGATATGCTCGTTTCGGAAAAAGGGGGATGTCATGTGTTGTGATTTTATAACGTGTCAAGTAGACAATGCTCTGATTGGCTGCTTTGTAAGTCCACGTGTGTGTGACGTATTTATGTTTAGGCCAATCACACACTACAAGTCGATAGACATATAAAAGCTTTAGTTCTTGATTCTTGTCGGTCGCTTAGCTGTCATTGTCTGTCACTAACTTAGTCAATGTGCTTCCATGTTGAACTGTTATCGTTTGATTGTGTAAAACTGATGTATCTTAATTTGAATAAATAAAATAATACAAACGTATTATTACAGTTCGATCAGCGCTGTCCTGGTTTTTTGTTTTATGTAAATGGTTATGACCAATGGTGTCAAGCATGTGGATGGAAAGTTGATTTTGAATTGAACTTGTGTTATTGCAATTTGGTTAGCTGGGATAACTTATGTCTAGGTGTATAAGCAGAGCTACCATAACGTCCTTATTTTGAAGGATTTGTCTTTATTTATAGTAATTTCGCCCTTATTTATAAGAAACGTTCTTGGTCTAACATGTGTCCTTATTTTATGGGTAGATGTTTTAATACCAGGCACTTACGTAATAACCATTCATTACGTAATAATAGCAAATTGATTGACACAATGACAAAACAATAGCTTATCGGCCAAAATCAGTTTGTGTAACTTAAATGAAAATACAACTTAAAAGTGAGATGGAACAGATTGTATCTAAGAATAAAGAACTGCTGGAGCAAATCCCTTCTCGTATAAAATTTGATTAGACACGGTCGCACTGGCATGAATACATTTTGTGTATTACATTTCGTTATTCTATCATTATGTTTCCCCGATGTCCTTATTTTTGGCTGCACATCGATAGCATCCCTGTGTATAAGATAAGATATTCGGGGATTGATAAAACGTTGGTGACTGGTCATATTTTTTGCTCTGGAGTGAATTTGTATGAAATTTTCTAAAGAGGAGTGATATTTAATTGTCTACTTTTATAGAATAATTTGACACATATATGTTGCAAATGATAATTTTGTGTATTTGGTATTCAGGGATTTTTATTACATGCTTGTCAATTCACTGAATATTTGCCGAATAATGAGGTTGGAGAAGAACTTTATCAAATGCTCGTACAAGCGTTGACCGAGGATTGATTTTCAAGATGGAAACAGAGAACGGAGGAAGAATAACATGGGATGAGGAAATACTCCATACCACCGATTCGTCGATGGTATCAGAAGAGTAAGTAACCTCAGCTGTTATTGGCGTTAGGACAAATATAGAACCAGGCCTGACTAGGGGGTGCAAATAGAAATTGCATTCAAACCTTTCTTGCATCACTAGTTCCACAAAATTTCATCACGATACTGATGCCATGCAATTGAGTTGGGACCAGATTTAAACGATACGAGGACTTTCGGGCTATTTCATTTGGAAGGACCCTCTTCAACAATGATGTCATAAAGCTTCAATTAAATAATTATGACACCTTTATAAGCCTGAAATGTTATGTTGCATACATTATGGCATCATAGACAAATAATAAAATTATGTAAAATATTTTTTTTTAGTAACAGGCATTAAATGTATGCCCATAACCCAAATAGATTGGGCAATACATATATTTTTCAAATCAAAGCATGATGTTTGCCTTCACAAAATACATTGAAATATTTCTCTCGCGAGTTGTTGTCTGGCACTAAATTCAGTTCAATATTCCCTTTTTTTTCTTATTTTAACATTAATAATTTCAGAGATCAATATCAAAGCCTTCTTGGAGCATCGAACAACATGGGAATCAATCAAACATGGAATTGACTTTTCAGTCTTCAAATAACTTCAATATGAAATAGTTTCTTGAATATTCAAAGAGATTTTTCGAATACAATCCATACCAGGGCTGGGCAAAAGGGAACCCCACGTAACACCCCTGTTACAAGATCTTTAGAAACCTGTAGAAATGAAATGTTTCACAGCGCACCCCGACGTTATAGATCATAGAACCCCTAAGGCCCAATGTTACTCAACAGTACAGCTTTCGTGCACCGATCGGCCGGTTAGGTGGCGCTCCAGAGTATTGTTTATCATGGTGTGTGGGATTTTTGACAAGATCCTGGAAGACCTAGAAACATCGGATCATATATGAAGAACGACGATCGGTGTCAAATAAATGGTGAGTTGGGGTCTTAGTTGACGTGATATAGATTACTATGTTGTATGAATTGAGAATCTAGAGTGAATACTGACCCGACATACTAAGGTCTACATTTGATGTATCACCGGTGTCACATCGGGATTAGTCATACAAATGGAGAAATTCAATTTGCATGTGACACCGGTGATACAATAATTGCAAGCATTCACATTATAGCCTTGAACTTCCCTTTTTCTTGCTTGGTCAGGCCACTAACCATATGTATTCATTTTTCTAGAACATGGCATCGATTGGGCCAAGCAGCTCGCGGAGAACTGGAATCACAAGAGTGTACAATGCTGATGATATTCTTGTCATTTTGAACTGCGATGAAAGTGATGATAATAATGGTGGATGCACTAGTAGTGGGTCAGATAGTGAATACGATATCAGAAAAAACGAAAACAACGGCTCCCAGGTTCATAATATTTTTAAATAATGATTACATAGTTTCTTTTTTTGAAGAAGCATTACACAACTGCTTACGATCAATTATCGCTCACAGACACAAAAAATATCTTCTGACAAATATCTTGATCACTCATTGATCGAAACAATAAATAATGTTGTTCTTTGTTTTTATTTCGTCATATTTCATTTTACAGATTGAGTCCGAAAGTTCTGACGACGACGTTCTATTGGCGAATCTACGAGTGCAAAATCAAAAACAAAGCCAAATAGAAAATGCAACCGACCGCAATGAGTTTCGGTGGAAAAAGAAGCACTTCGATAGACCTGATGCAACATTCCTCGGTCCACAATTAAATCCTCCAGCTGACATGATTGTAGATACGCCATTGCGTTATTTCCGACGTTTTGATACAGAGGAAATGCTGCAACTTCTGACAGAACAAACAAACCTCTACAGTGTTCAAAAGAATGGTGTTTCGGTCAAAACGAACAAAAAGGAAATTGAGCAGATATTAGGAATGTATTTGCACATGGGTATAGTGCAGATGCCCAGTGTTCGGATGTATTGGGAAACTTCAACATTTTATGAGCCAGTGAGTGGAGTTATGTCTCGCAACCGCTTTCAAACATTGCTGAGAACTCTACATTTTGTAGACAATTTGACTGTGTCTGACAACGAAAAACTTTCTGACAAGCTATGGAAGATTCGTCCGTGGCTAACAATGTTCAGAGATGCATGCTTACAGGTTACAGCCGAGGAATACAACTCTGTTGACGAGATGATGTGCCAGTATAAAGGCACGACAAGTTCCATACGTCAGTACCTGAAGAGTAAGCCTCATCTGTGGGGTTTTAAAATCTGGGGAAGAGCGGGTATAAGTGGAATTCTTTACGACTTTGATGTCTACCAGGGTGGTACCTGTGAACGCACAGAGTTAGGACAAGGTGCGGACAATGTTCTCAACTGACATCAACATTGCCATATCATGCAAACTACAAGATATTCGCTGATAACCTTTTTAGCAGCTTTCCACTCATCCAAAAATTATCAGAGAGGGGAATGCAGTATGTTGGAACCGTGAGAAAAAATCGCCTACCCAACTGTAACCTGGACGATGAAAAAACATTAAAGAAGAAAGGCAGGGGGGAATATGACTTCAGAGTTGAAGAAAACAATAACATAATAGCAGTAAGATGGTATGACAACAGGGCAGTGTCACTACTATCTTCGTACGTAGGAGTGGAGCCAATTGATCAAATCAGACGATGGGACAGACGAACGAAACAGCATGTGCACATAGCCATGCCTGCTATCGTTCAAGAATACAATAAGTTTATGGGAGGTATTGATAAACTGGATTCATTTCTTGCAAAGTACAGGTTCCGAATGAAATCAAAAAGATGGTATCTTTATCTCTTTTGGCATTTTATAATGGTTGCTATTGTGAATGCCTGGCTCTGGTACCGCCGTGATTGTGCTCTGCTCCATCTTACAACGCGATATATTATGAAACGGAGACATTTTCAAGCAGCAGTCGCAAGTGCTTTGATCCATGTCAATACTGACACCCGTCGCGGGAGACCATCGTCTGAAGTTGAAGAAATTTGCAGCCCCTCAAGAAAAATTTCCATGGCCCCATGTGAAGATATTCGCCGAGACAAATACGCACACGAAAATTGAGAAAAGGGGAAGATGCAAATTGTGTGAACGCAATCAAACAAATACCAGTTGTTTAAAGTGTAAAGTGAGACTTTGTTTTGTCGAGGGCCGCAATTGTTTTATGACTTCCACGCCTGAGGAATTGGAACAATTTTTTATTCTCAGGGAATTTTTCTGTAGTTTTTTTAAGTGTTTATATCATGCTTGCTTTTAAGCGCAAAAGATTCGCCGATATTGCTCTTTGAGTTCGTTCGTTCAATGTTGAAATAAAAATGTGAAACTTCAACTTGTTTTGACTAGATTTTTCACATTTGTATACAGTGTAAATCCTATTGTAACACATATGTCACATTTGAAAAGGGGGTTAAATGAGGTCAAAGGTTAAAATGGTATAAATATTTGTTCAACATGATTAAAATGAACTAAGAATCCCAAATATCAGATTTTTCCTTCAACTATTTCATTGTCTGGGTTCCCCGGGGTTAATTACTCTTTTCGAATCTGCCAAAATCAGACAGGGTTTTCAAAAAACAGAAACAAGGACATTTGGAGCACAATCTAGAGCAGACATGGGCCAAATTCGGCCCGCTAGGTAATTAAATCTGGCCCGCCTGATGATGCCACAACCAAACTGAAACCAAATTTTGATGTTTTAGTTAAAAATAGCTTAAGGAATTTGTTGATATTGTGGTTGAATTTAGTTCTGGCACAAGGTTTATTGTTTTCCACTGTTGCTTTTGAAACACTGTAAATATTGTTCATAAAATGCCACACTTTAAGTCATACTTACATGGCCCGCTAGTCTAGGTGGGCAAAATTTTTGGTCCCTGATCCAAAAACCGTGCCCACCCCTGATCTAGCGGGTACATGAGTTTTGTGCAAAGTGTCCTGGATTACTGAAATTTTTCGGTACAATCATACATAAAAGAGTTCAAATTTTTAGTCTTCCTGTACTATTCCAAATACATTTTGAATTATTATTCTGAAACTTGGGCCGAATCAATATCGACAATATTCAATTTTGGGAGCTCAGAAGTATGTGCACCAAGATGGCACACAACCTGAACATAGTATGTGTTGTTGTACAGAATAACCTAGATCAGGCCTGCACAACATACGGCCCGCGGGCCGCATGCGGCCCGCTAGATACTTCTGTGCGGCCCGCGGGTGATTTGGAAACAAATCTTTGTTATTGTTTTTTTGTTGTTACATTGTTATTTATGCAAGCGCGCCGCTACTCCGATCATATTAGAAATCGTGAGATTTATGTTTTGCACTAGTTTCAATAAATATCGAACCTGGTGTAAAATTGGTGTGCCCTTCGCGACCCTTAAAATTCGTCGCTCGACCTCTCGCCCCCCAGTTTGGGAAACCCTGATTTAGATATCTCGGTATTCAAACTGAATCACGCTCAAAACAATATCGGTATACAATCTCACACCCATTAGTGCATATTAGCAACCTATTAATAACCCCACTATTTTTTACTAGCAGTTTATGAAACTGAAGTTTCTTTTCCAAATTTAGAACTTGAAAAACAATTTTTTCATTCATGAATGCTGCAGAAATTCTCGCACAAAAGATATTGCTATTTACTGTAAAACTTCAAAAATTTGGATCAGATTTTGTAGAAAAATGTAATTTAACAGTCGAAAAAGTACAACAGAGGAAGATCTATCGCTACTAAACGGATTGTTTGTCCAGCCTGCAGTGGAAATATCTAAAAATGTTAGATATGACTGAATACCTATATGTGGGACGATTTTACAAAACTGAACCTAAGTAAAATATTTTCCTGCAGTCAGTTTATACTGCAACACGCAATACCTAATTCTAATAAAAAAAAATATTGAAAATGAAGGGTGGGTTTTCAAGGTAGATGAACCACTAAATACTCAAGAAAATAAGATTCTTCATATTTTTAAGCTTTCCAGTAATGAAAGTGTTTCATCAAATTTAACTGTTTCACAATATTATTTTGATTTGAAGTTCATCTTGTGAAATATGTATGTGGCAAAGTTTGCGGCCCGCCGGGCCTTCAGATTTATGCTTGCGGCCCTCGTGGTAGTTTGAGTTGTGCAGGCCTGACCTAGATGAATTTATTTTTTTAATACTAGAAGTTAACTGAAATCAAATATGTATGTAACCACTTAGTTTGTAAAGCTGAAAATTGTAGATTGCTAAATGAAACTGGCTTTCCAGAAGTATGTGCACCAAGATGCTGTTCAAAACGTGCTGCTACTATTCTGCCATGATGAAATCTAATCTATAAGGTTTCTCCTTTTCTCCCAATAGTTAGGCTAGATCGATCCAGTATCACATGTTGAGTCAGTAATCCTAGAAACATGGTGCAGGGCTGAGAACGTATGTTGGGGTGTAATTTTTTGACCAGATCATGGAGGCATGCGATCTCCTTTTGTAACATTGAAAACATAAATTATGCAAAAGGTTTCACTCCGGTATGAGTTCGCTCATGCGCACGTAAATTTAATAAATCTGAAAAACTCTTTTCACATTGTGTACAAGAATACTGTTATTGCTGTTGTAAACTAGACAGTTGTGAAAAACCCTTTTCACATTGTTTACAAACATAGGGCTTCTCTCCAATATGAATTCGCTCATGCCTATGTAAATGAGATAATCGTGAAAAACACTTCCCATATTGTTTGCAAACATAAGGTTTTGTTCCTGTATGAGTTCGCTTATGCTCTTGTAAATGAGATGATTTCGGAAACCACTTTCCGCATTGTTTACAAACATAAGGTTTCTCACCAGTATGAGTTCGCTTATGCACATTTAAATGCCACTTTGATTTGAAATTCTTTCCACATTGTTGGCAAACAAAGGTTTCATCTCTACTGCTGGTTTGTAAATTTGACCCTGGTAACATTCAATCGCACACAACTGATTTTCCAGTTTCAGCTTCATCACTCAAACCACTTTCTCGACATTTTTCTCCGCCCCCTCTTTGTAAACAAGTTTTACTGATAATGTCTTTTCCGTAACGCTTCTCAAGAGTTGGTAAGCTGACTATTTCCCACAATGTTGTTGGTTGCATATTCGCATAAATCTCCAGTTCCATCATTAATATGCAAAAACATATGCTTTTCCAAACTGGGCCTTGATGGAAAGTTTTCATCACAGAGAAGGCAGGGAAATACGTTTTCGGTGGAGTCTATGATTTCGGTAAAATTTTCCATAGTTAGGAATAATCAGTAATCAGTAATTTATTTTTTCACCATTCTAAAGCACACAATGTGAATACACAATACAAGAAATATGAAATATGGTACTTTAGGGTGAAGGGAGGCGCGAGACACCAAGACTGGTGATCGAGCAGCGACACCCATGACAAGTCTAACAGTAATAGATAAACGAGAATATCGGTCGGAGACCGAAGACTTATCGATCTTAGATCGGTAATTAGTTAATAACTCGCTAATTATACGACATACTTAACCCAAAATCGATAGGCGTCTGGTCCGAGGCAAGGTGCATGCACATGCAAAATTTGGAGCAGATTCAACCACGCGTTCGTGAGATATCGCGTTCATCTAACAGACACACACACACACACAGACATACAAATACCTATCAAAATACTTACCGATCTTAAGATCGATAAGTAATAACAGTAATATATAAATCAAACAAACAATAAATATTAGAACAGGTTTACGTTAAAGTAAGTCGAGGCGACCTGCATACCCAAAAGACACCCGATCCAAGGAGAAACGGATAACGACTCCGAGCACCGTCTTGTGAGTAACCATGGCAACGTCAGCGAAATCTTATACTGCGGAATACAGACACTGCCCGAGTTGAGCTTGAATTCATATTTGTCCCGCGAGGGGAAGCCGATAACTTGGCATATTTATATTATTATAAAATAGTTTTGTTTGTCGCAGTTATGGATACGAGAGTGTGTAAACAAGTGGAAGTATAGTGGTAAGGTGCTTTGGTGCCGGAGACGTCGTGTGAAGAGGGAAGAGCCTAAGGACCCAACCTGACGTTAACAGGTAAAAAATAATAAAATTTAATTGGCGATTGAAAATAATCGACAAAATAAATAAATGTGGAAGTAAATAGTATTGCTAGTTAGACAAAATATGTACATAAAGAAACTAGTATATTAGAAAATTTTAGTCCATCATTGAAAACATGAATGCAGTAAACACTTTACGGTATCGGTACCCAAGCAAACAGCATATGGAAAAGACATCAATTTAGTAAGTTGCAATATCATTGAAATTGGTGAGTATACTGGCACTTGACAAAGACATAAAGGATAGCTAAGTATTTGTACACAATCTGAGACCAAAATTATGGATCATGGGTGAAGTGACCCACCGGTATAGACTACCGGTATGGTTTGGATCCAAGTTAACCCGTCTGAGCCTGATGTTGGCAAGATGAATAGTTTGGTTATTGTATGAGTGGCACATGGCTATGCACTGACACGGTGGGGGAAATAACAAGTTCAAGATTTACAGAGTCTCTATCTATTTCAGTTACTGTGGACTGTGGGTGAAGTCAAGTGTTGAGCTGACAATGACAAGGGGTTGAGGGTATTTTATTTTAAAAGAGACATATGTGCTTTCACGTAAACTTTGTGGAATACTATTCCATATTATGACACCTTTGTATTTCAGGGAATTTTGAGATTTGCTCAGTGAAAAGCGAGATACAAAAAAATTGGACTTGGTTGAAGAGCGAGTGTTGTGTTCATGCACAGAGGTAAGCGAAACAAAATAATTGTCGAAAGCTGTGGGCAAGTGGTTGTTTTGAAATTGGTGCATAACTTTGGAGATCTCTAGAGTGTGAATGTCAGATAGTTTTAACACCCTTGTTTTATGGTATAGGGTGTTTAGGTTTGTACGAATAGATGCTCTAGAGAGGGTTCTAACAGCTTTATTCTGTAAGATCTCCAATTTATGAATGTTAGTTTGCGCTGCTGAGCCCCAAGCGGTTATAGCATATTGTATGTGGGATTGAAAGAGAGCAAAGTAGACAGTTCGCAGGGTGGCATCCTGGACATAATGTCTGAGTTTTCCCAATATCCCAACCGATCTCGACAATTTCTTATGTAATTCGATAGTATGGGTGTTCCATTTTAAATTATTATCTATATGGAGCCCGAGATATTTATAGAATTGGACGACTTCCAAGGCAACCCCCCTGATTTTGATTAGAATGTTGGCATGTGTTAGCGATTTTCGGCTGAAAACCATGACTTTAGATTTTTCGACATTTACAGTAAGTGTGTTGCATAACATCCACTCATATATTTTATTTATTTCTGAGTTTACAGTGTGTTGGAGTGTGGTCAAGTCTTTTCCACTAGCAAGCAGGCAGGCATCATCGGCGAAGAGCTTGGTTAGAAGATTAGAGCAGTTCGACAAGTCATTTACAGAGAGTAAAAAAGCCAAAGGCTCGATAATTGAACCCTGGACAATTCCGCACTGAATGGGCAACATTGGGGACTTATGAGAACCTAATTCAACAAATTGAAAACGACCACTCAGGTAATTAGCTAGTAGTTTGCTTACATTACCTCTGAAACCATAGTGTTGCAACTTTTGAATAAGAATTTTGTTGTCCACCGTGTCAAAGGCTTTCTTTAGATCAAGGAAAGCACAGCAGACAAACTCACATTTATCTATTTTGTCATAAATATATGATGTTAAGTCTAGGGTGGCATGGCTAGTAGAGTGGTTGGGTTGGAATCCGAATTGGCATTTATTGATCAAGTTGAATTTGGTACAAAAAATTAGCATTTTCTTGTATATTAACTTTTCCAGAATAAGACCAATTGAAGATAGAATAGAAATTGGCCGATAATTAGAGGGATTATTTTTGTTGCCGCTTTTGAAGATTGGTATAACCATGGCAATCTTTAATGAGGAGGGGAAAATACCATAATTGAATGATAAATTAAAAAAGTGACTCAATTCTGGAGAAATAATATCTGCGACTATTTTCAAGAAAAACGGGGAAATACCATCATGTCCAACTGCTTTGCCCTTTTTCAGGTTCAATATTATTTGGTGAACCTCGGAAGGTGTCGTTTGCTCCAGAAAAAAAGAGTGCTGTGAGGGAGCACTCAAGAAAGCTTTGAAAGGTTTCTTGCTATGTGGAATATTGTCAGCAAGTTTCTTTCCTACAGATGAAAAGAATTTGTTGAATTCGGCGGATATTCTGGCGGGGTCGGAAACTGTGGCACCATTTTCAAGCTCCAATTCAAAGACGATGGATTCATTTTTGGATCTAACTCTAATAATGTCAATCAATCAATCATCATTTATTCGTCAACACAATCAATATAAATATATCACGGAAATATGGCAAGATATACAATAAGTAAAAAAAAGAACTTCATATGTGTGACAGGAGTCGCGAGGGACCACGAGAGGTCTTCGAGCAGCGACACCTACGATGCTGATTCAGCTTAATAAATAAATTTAGTTAACGCCTATGCTTCTAATCATATTATTTACAAAACATAAAAAACATGACATCAAACAATTGAATAATATGTGTATATAACAAATTTGAAAAAAATGAAAACCACCAAATAGCTATTACAAACTTCTTTATATATATATATGAAGGAGAAAAAATTCAAAGAGAAATCAATCATAATAAAAGTAGATGAAACTCTAATAAATGTACAATTAGGTTTTTAGACCGTGTACATAACACCTCAATGGTACATAACGGCATAATCGTTGCCAACCAAGCAGCAATTTTGAAAAATAAGGACTCCATGCACCTCTGAATCGCTCGAGCTGGGATCAGCGTTGTCAAGAATAACAAGCCAAGGTCACATGCTGTCGTGAGTCAGATGTTAAGAAACGGCAGCAGATTAGAATTGGTCATTAAATTTTCAGATGATCAACTTCCAGAAAGGTAATTATCAATATATTTTATTTTCAGGTCTCTTTTAAAACCATGATATGGCAGTGATCTTATGGTACCTGGTAAATCATTCCACAACTTCACACCCATATACTTTATAGATTTTTGTGTTGAGCATAATGTATATCTTGGGACATATAAGGCACCTTGCGAGGCAGATCTAGTGCGATATGAATGGACTGCAGTCTGTTTAGTAAAATACCCTACAAATGCCTTTGGAAGTTTGTCGTTGAAGTACTGGTGCATGAGTTTCAGTATCTCAAATTCATGGACATGGTGAAGTTTTATAATGTTAAATCTATGGTACAAAGGATCAAGTCTGGTGTGTAGAGGTGCATTACCAATTGCTCGGATTGATTTATTTTGCAGCACCTCAAGTCTGCGGATCAGTGTGGATGATGCACTTCCCCATGCAACAATGCCATACTGGAGATATGATTGGAATAGGGAAAAATAAACTAATCGCATAGCTGATGTGGTAAGAAATGTTTTTAATTTAAATAATATTCCCGCTATTCTAGCTAGCTTGCTGGCTATGTAGTTAATATGTGATGCCCATTTCAACTTATTGATAGTTTTCCAAGTGTGCTTCACATCCCCTCTGTTGTTTTCAAGGATATTATGGTAATACATTTGTTTTGATTTTCTCTGCAAGTGCGTCAAAATGTTCTTGTATTTTTTGAAGTGGAGACGCTGGGATGAGTTTCCCTTTAAGAATTTTTTTCTAAACATATTGTTTTTATGTTTGATGGACTTACGAATTCCTTTAGTAATCCACGGTTTAGAGTAAAGTTTATTTTCTCTACGCGAAAATGGTCTTAATGGAGCATGTTTATTAATCAACCATTTGAAGTGACTAAGAAAAAGATCGAATGAGCTATTGAAGTTTTCCTCATGTATGCTAATACTAGTATAATTGTTACAGATCGACTCAACCTCCAATCTGAACAGGTCAACACAAAATTTAGTCATGTCACGTTTCATGCGAGTGTTTGTATTTATATTGCCAGTAGTTGCTGATATTGTGCACATTACGGGAAAGTGGTCAGTGAGATCACTGAGCAAAATAAATGATGAATTGCAGATATTTACGGTATTGGTGTAAATATGGTCTATAAGGGTGTGAGAGGTCGAGGTAACTCTGGTTGGTTTGGTAATGAGCGGGCATATAAAATTAGTCATGAGCATGTCTAAATACTTGGTAGTGAGATTGTTATGAGAATCAAGAAGATTTATATTGAAATCACCTAATATTATAAATTGCTTTTTAGCCATTGTCAGCTTCTCGAATAGACAGGACATTGCTGTGGTGAACGCTGGAATATTATTTTTGGGATGCCTATATATTACACCAACAACAAGATTTTGAATTTTTGAGGTTGGTTGGAAGTTCTTTAATTCAATCCAAATGTCTTCGCAGTTAGGAAATCCTAAGCCGAGTTCAGAGCATGCATGATAATTTAAATTGCTATCAATATAAAAACCAACACCGCCTGCTCGAGTTGGGGATGGAGCATGTATGAAGGTGTACCCAGGGATATTAACATTCGCAACACTGTCACTTATGATCCTGGTCTCGCTTAAGGCGATGATTTGAGGTGGAGTACAAAAATTGGAAATCAATTCAACTAAATTATCAGAATATTTAGGTAATGATCTAATATTAAGGTGCAAAATGATGAACTCTGAAGGTAGAAAACTTGACGTTACCCTGTTGATATCAGATATTTCAAGATATTGACTTGGGGTAGAAGAAATTTCAGGGTGAAAGTTGATAGATTCCCAGTTTGAGTTGGGATCACTGTTTAGGTCATAGATAGGTGATGATAATGGATACAATTTTAAAGAACATGTAATAGATTGTGATCAAATAGGCTAGTGCGATGGGGGGAATGTCATAGCTTGAAATTTTCCAAAAGATACTGAAGGTTTTTAAATAGGTCATAAGGGGAATTAATAATTTACTTAAGTATAGCAGTGGAAAAATCATTGGACTTATCTTATTTTATCCAGATCGTCTTCATCAGTTATGGACAGAGTGTTCGTGTCTTTGTTCTTTTTAATCAGTATCTTGCCATTTGATGTCCACAGGAAGGCGTAACCACATCGCTTCTTGAGGACCTTCGCTTTCGAAAATAAGTTTTTATTTCTTTCGGTTAGGTTTTCAACCACGAACACCTTTGACAAGTCTCTTATAGATGTTGTATTGCTAGAGGTTTTAATCAAGTTTCGATTTTTGCGGTTTGTGAATTTCGCTACAATTGGTTTATGGATGTTGGTATTCCTTGTTGGACAGCGGTGTGTTACGGAGATGTCTGAAGGCTTTATGTCTACATGGATAATTTTTCCGATTTGTGTTACTAGTTCATCAGTATCTTCATTTTCGGTTGATGGAATGCCATGAAATTCTCGGTTATCCATCCTAGATCGACGTTCATGTTCTTCTATTTTTTCTGTGACATAAAATAACTCATCTTCAAGATCGTAAACTAACTCTTCGAGATCTCGTATTTTTTTGCTATAAAGAGTAAGTTTCTCATCTGTAACTTTTTGCTTTGCAATAACTTCGTCATATTTCTCAGATTAGAAGCTTTGTGATTCTCTGATAGAAGCAAGGTCTTGTTTAATTTCTTTCAGAGATATCATCTGTTCCTCCATGCATTCTTTTAGACCTGGACTCATTGGTAGGTATTCTGATGAAAAGTTTGCAGAGCTGAAGTTTTCTGTTAAGCATTTGGCAATTAGGGATGGTAACTGGTTCATGATGTTTGTTTGTATTGCCTCCTGTAGGTTTATCTGGAAGTTAGAGTGTCCCTTCTGTTGTTGCAATACAGATCCAATTGGTGAAAGGCCTGGATCGGGAAGACTTCTACTCAGGCGTTGCTTAGGCTTTGGTTTGGTGGTATTATTGATCGAAGCCATGTTGTTGTGGATGTTTGAGATATACGCTGGAATTGATGGTAAAATAGGCAGCAAAGAATCAAGTTAGACTATTCTGCTAGTTTAGGTTAGATTTAAAACCTTAAACGGAGAATAATCTGAATATCTGAAAAATCATTGTATGTTTTCTATACTTTGCACCACTGACTATCGCCTACACTAAAAACGATCAAATATATGTACACAAAGGCCAAAACGAAGTAGTGGTAGGGTGACTCTACGCGGAACTCTGGGAATATTTGATACCGTTTGCAGGTATGTATGCAATCTGTCTACTACCAGTACGTAGTTCGCAGTCTTCACCTGAATGCCAAAAAGCAACAAAAGCGCCACAAGTCAGTCACCAAGTGTTTAATTTTGATGATGTCATTCCACACAAAATGACGAATCTCACAGATAATAATACTAATAAATAATAAAAGTAATAGCTTTACTTTAATGGCTTTATAGCTACAAATACTATCTTTGAACCTTTGAAAATTTCAAAGCAATCGGTCCAGTCGCCATTGAGAAACGCTATTTTTCCACAACAGAAGAAAAAATACTACAGTAACAATAACAAGAGCATAATTAGTTTAACTACAAAACGATCCAATGTAAACTTATACAAACAAAAAGGTTTTCTAGAGAATATACATTATTTTTCTCAACAGTTGAGCCTAAAAATTATGAAAAATCACATTTCTATAGACCTAAAACACCGCCGTAGAAAATGCAAAAAGACGAACAACTCACCAGGTCTCTCTTTAGCCGAGTTGTCTCTGGTGGGTTGTCCGCCTCCCATTCACACTGTCCTCATCTTTCTTGACTTCTATATTAAGTAAATCAATGTTTGAGTATTTGGAGAGCTGCTTTTATATTCGAATTACCTGATTCCAAGACAAAAGATCAACTTGACTCACGTATGCAGAAAGAAGTCAAATGTATAACTATGGTACGATTTTTTTTTTGTGCCAAATAAATTCCAATGCCCAACGGAATTTTCACTTTATTTTAAATACATAGTTTTTGTTTCCATGTTTTTGTTTTTTAATTTAAATCCTATTCCCCCCAATACATATGAATAGGAAAAATCAAAATACAGACAAAATTCATACCATTACCACGATGTCATTAATTTAATATAATCCAATATATGCCCAAAACATTGAGTTAATCCACATGCAATCCACTCAGCAATTAGTTGTATATAATTTTAATTTACTGGTAATCAGTTTATTTTTAATTAGCATGAAAAATATAACAAGAATACAAAAATCACACAGAG